CCTACTGGTATTTGATAATTGGAGCAGGAAAAAATATAGGAAGAGCTTTTTATGATGAAAAGGGATAGAGTCAGAAGCAGTAAACAAATCTGCATTTGGCATGCAGCAGATGACAGCATTAACCAGGCTAATACTGAGGCACAGCAAAGTTGGATACATGAGCAATGATCTCAAAAGCTGGGGATAAACCTCTCCTAATAAAGATGGAAATTAAAGTTTGGGAGCTGCCAAATCTCCAACCTAACAACGAAGAAAGTTTTGTCAGTTCAGAACACAGACCTGAGACACTGAAGGCAGGCTCTAAATAATGGATTCCTATTAGGCTGATGCTAATGATCCAATTTCAGGTGAATGGTCTAAAGCAGAATCAGGAGTAGTAAAACAGTTTCTTTCAAGTCTCAGGTTTTGCAGCTGGTGAAGCACAGACAGAGTGTAAAAATGCCCTGAGGAACAATGGAAGGAGATAAATGCAGGGTTTATAAGTACATGGGTTTGAAGAGACAGTTCTAGTATGGAAGGAATCTCAATTAAATCATTTCCATGTATGGGCAATTGACTATCTAATAAATGTATACTGCGGATAAAGAAGACATATTGAGCTCACCTGTAGGATAAAAGATAATGAGTACAAAAATCAGACCTTGAAGATCATCTCATTCCAACCCCCTGCCATGGGCAGGGCCACCTTCCACTAGCCCAGGTTGCTCCAAGCCCCGTCCAAACTGGCCTTGGACACTTGCAGGGCTGGGGCAGCCACAGCTTCTCTGGGCAACCTGTGCCAGGGCCTCTTCCACAGGGAAGATTTGCTTCCAAAAATCTAATCTACATTTACCCTCTGTCAGTTTGATCCCATTCCCCCTTGCCCTACCACTTCCATGCCCTTGTCCAAAGTCCTTGTCCTGCTTTCTTGGAGCCCCATCAGACACTGGAATGGGCTGTAAGGTCTCCCCAAAGCCTTCTCTGAGCTGAACACCCCCAGTTCTCCCAGCCTGTCCCCACAGCAGAGGGGCTCCAACAGCCTCCTCTGGACTCACTCCAGCAGTTCCATGTCCTGCCTGTGCTGGAGCCCCCAGAGCTGGAGGCAGAACTGCAGGTGGGGTCTCACCACAGTGGAGAAGAGGGAGAGAATTCCCTCCCTCACCCTGCTGGGGATGAGCCCAGCATATGGCTGGAATTGATTATAATGTCATCGACTCATTTTCACACCTCAAACAGTTGAAATAGGGAATTTAACAACATTTAAAAAAAGATTATTAAACCTAAAGACACTTAAAAATTAATTTTTAATCAATAATGTAGGAAAAGATACTTTTAATTGTTGGGGTTTTTCCTCATAGTGAATTGCATGGGGCACATCTCCAACTGGCAGCTGTGGCAAGCTGATGCTATGGCTCCATTTTGCACAATTACTTCCTAATTAAAGCAGTAAAACTTTCAGCACCCTTGTAAAGAAAAGAGTTCAGATCTAATACGGTAGAGACTGCAGTTGGTTGACTTCAGCTATATTCAGCATTAAAGGCATAAGAAAAAGGATCCAGTTCTGCTGTTTATCTCTCTTTATAGTGAGGTAAACAGCTCATTTGAGCTTCCCTATCAATTACTGAGAGAGAAACTCTAAGATCACATTTTATCATTATGAAAGAACATTCTTGTGTGACTGCTTTATCAATCTCTTCTTCACCTCAGCAGCATATGTCTAATGATTAATTTTCTAAGCCTTCAAGTGCTGCTTTTGCTTGAAGATACTGTTCTACCAAGATGCTTCAGGGAATCTGCTCATCATTCAGCACAGCAACACCTCTCCAAGACACTTAAAGAAGGTGTGGTGTCTGCTGATCCCTCCAGTTGACTCCTGCCAACTCCAGGAGCAGAGTTGAGCCTTCTGGGAATAAACCTTTCTTTTCAGAAGTTTGAGTTTTGCTGAGATTGATGTTCTGGAAAGGCACAAGATACACGAGTGTGCGAGTTCCAAAATGCACTGACAGTGTCTTTCCCATTAACTGTCTACTGGCCACAGCTTTTCTCTCAGCTGGATATTCCCAAATGCAGTGACTGTAGACTCGTTTCTTGCCAAGCAAAGCACGGGGCAAGAGGCAAACTTTGCCTTTATAATTCCTCTCAAGTTCAAGCTTGCAAGCAATCTATGAGCTGGAGTAATCTGCATCAGGATGAAACCTGAAACATCCCATCAAGGACTACTCTGCTGCCCAGGGTAACGACACCAGCGTGAACTCCAGCTTGTAAAACAGCCTTCGTGGGGAAACCAACAGCACAAAGAGAGAAGCCCAAAACTTGCCCATAGATTATTTTTTTCCCCCTTAAGGCCCTCCCCAATTGTCAACTCGTGGCAAAATTTAGAGCCTTTCTGCATTATTCTCACACAACATTTGAGCACCAGCAGAGCTGATTTCTGGCCAGTTGCCTCCGTGCTTTTCAGAAGCCTCTTGATGGGTTGCTTTGAGTGCTACGGAGAGTGCGGCGACCGAGAAACAAAAGTTATTTTGCCTTTACACTGTTAGCATTTGATAACTGTCACTAGGCCTTTCTGCTAAGATTTGATACCACTGAAGCAATTCAGATCTTCAGTGCTCTGAAAAGTCACTCCAAGTGCCTGCTGAAGGAGCCTTGGTAGAACTTTGCAGGTAGCACTCCCACCAAAACAGGGTCGTGAAACAGCTTTATGAAAACACAACCCTAAGAGGAGAGAGCCCTGCTACCAACAACTCCACTTTTTTTGGTTTTTTTTACCATACAAGAACTTAGAACAAGTACCTTATAGAGTTCACCTGTCTCTAGGGGGTTAAGTTACCCACCACAGAACTTCTCCTTAAGCATTTCTTACTTATGAAAAGCCAGAAACATGATTTTCCTGGGACAAACTAGTTCCCACAGTGGGATAGAGAAACCAGATAGCGTTTGGTATTTGGAAGAAACTCTGTAATGACAATACTGAAAGGTAAACATGCAAACATTTAAGCCCTGAAAAAACACCCGTCTATTTTTATGAACTACAGCCCATGGCACAATCCCTGAACTGGGCTGAAAGCATTAGATACTGTTCTGTCCGTTAACTATAAACTATGTCAGACCATATGTTTTAAAGACAAATTACGAAGAGGAAAACAAAATAAAAGAACTTCTTAAAATCAACTTTGTTCCCTCTGTATTTGTCCAGATATTTTAAGATGGCATCTTTCAGGACAGGAGCAGCCCAGACTCAAACAGAGCTGAACAAGCAACTGCCTTCTACTGCCAGGACTTGGAAGAACCATTTCATCCACTCCAAGGAAGAAACTTTTCCTCATGTGGATAAGCGAGGCTGATCTTTTGCAGTTCTCTCAACAGATGTCCTTGCCCTGATGTCCTCTTTCAAGTTTATTCTTCCCTAAATCAAGACACAGAGGTCTCTCACGAACATATGGCGTACGGACATTAGAGATGCCATTTTTCCTTGCGAATGTGCTGGGATCTGCTGACCTCAGGTCACACTGGCAAGAAGTTACCATCTGCCTATTCCTGTTAGATGATCAAAAAGGAGCGTTTCTGGCTCTTCTGCTACAGCAAAACACCAAAGGTAGTTAGAATATTGTACTGCTTGCAGTTAGTGCTCTGGCTGTATCTCATCTGACCTTGAAACTCTGTCCAAAGTAGTAAAAGCAGGAACCAAACCGGGGGTGGAGGAGGAGAGGGTATATCACAGGACTGAGAGCATGGAAAAACCCAGCAGCAGGTTTAACATCTTACACTCCCTAACCTTCCCTTAATTCCCTTCAGTTTCCTTCAATGCACAAATATTGCATGGAAAATGAAAAGAAACACTCAAGAAACTCAAACCAGTATTTCAGCACAGCAGTACATCCATGGGATCCCTGTCTGAGCACTGCAAAGGATTTCTTGGGCCCTTCTAGAAACACACAGAGAACGAGAGAAAGTTTAAAAGCAAAGCTCAGCTAAAAATAAAAACAAATCAAAACTTTCCCACTAACTAGATCAGACACAGCACGTATTTCAGGTTTCAGTTATATGAAGATCATGGACATAGTTTTGTTTTGTTCACAGATAAACTTCCTCTGCAGGACAAAACTGTTGCAGAAACTTTGTCAAAATCCCATTCTCCAGCCAAAGACAGCAGCCAGAAGTGTGTAATCTCAAAGAACATTAAAACTAAAAAAGTGTTGTGCAAAAGCAAGGATTACCCCAAAAAGTTTCAGTGAAACAATGCATTTCTGCTCCTCACTTCTGTAGAGATGCCTTCAGTTTACAATTTCTTTGGTCTTTTTTTTTTTTTTTTAAAAAAGCAACTTTTGAAGCAGTCACTAAACCGACCTCTGAGTCCTACAGAGCTTTTCATCTGGCTTCTTTCCTGAGATTCCCAAGTCCCCTCTTACTTTGCAGAAGACCAGCAAGTGACAGTGTTGCTGTACCTCAAACTTGGCCACATTTGGCCTCTAGCACTTCAGTCCATCACAGCCCAAGATGAAGGTTTAAGCAGCTATGAGAAACCACTAAACAAAAGTGCTGTGAATGCACTAAGCAGATTAACAAGAGCAAATTCACAAACTTTCCAAAATAAGGTGTTTTTTTTTTCAAAATAGCAGAGTCCCCTTTGTAAAGGTAATTAAAGAACACTTGTCGCTGACCACAGTATCACCATCAGCTCTGGTTAGTTGCTCAATACTGTGACCTCAACTCAAAAAGTATCAAACAGCCATTTTCCCAAACTGCGAACCAGAGGGCAGAATTGAAAAACTTGTACAATGTTAAAGTTACTTCCTTGTATTTCACCTTTAGCTGTACAACCTCTCCTCAGATTTCAAGCAACCCGACTCAGGTATTTTCTTAATAAACAATCACAGAAGATGTGCATTAAGCAGCAAGGGAGAGAAAATAAGACTGCCACAGAGTACATGTCTGTATCTGCTCCGTGCCCTCGAATAAATCCATATTGTACCTAGCTCAGCAGATCAAAATTAAAGCAAATACCAGTAGAAACCTCTCACCATGTTCGACGAAGACGTTACAGTGTGGGCCCCCATGCCTCGATGACTCCTTCTTCCCTGCTCCTTTGATGAAGTGCAGGGCAGGCAGACTTGGCCTCCTTTGGTCCCCAAGAACTTTTCCAGGCTGCTGCCCCATAAAGTAACTATGGGCAGCCTTTCCCAGGACGAGAAGTTTTTCGGAGAAGTCCGTGATCCCTGATCCTCCAGGCTGGGAAGGAGCTTTGAGGGAGAACGTGTTTAGGTGGGTGCGCTGGCTGCACTCACGGTGGGATAAAGTCACTTGAGGCGAAGAATTAAGACAGATTCCTCCAATGCTCCTGAAGAAAGCAACAAGGCTCCTTAGGTGACTTTATGAAAAAAAAAAAAAAAAAACAAACAACAAACAACCAAGTAAAAGTTCCAACTGCTCAGCAACGACCAAGCATTACCAAAGTTTAGGTTGCCATATGCAGCGCGTCCTCCACCGGGTAAAAAAAGGCGAATTAGTTCATCTCACAAGCAAGAAACCACACACAGGGTCACCCAGGGCAGGAAACAGCCATTCCCACCGCAACCGGTGTCAAGGTTTCCTTTTTTTTTTTTTTTTCTTTCTCCTCCTTTTCTTTTGCATAGCATTGAGTTAGCGAAGGGCCAGCGTGCCACGCGGGGTTTGGCCTCAAGTACCGCCGGAGCCCAGCAGGGTCAGGTGCGCTGGAACCATGTCAGCTCTCCGGGCGAAGCAGCAGCAGCAGCAGCAGCAGCAGCAGCAGCAGCAGCTCTGGGCGGGCTCTCGGGGGTGCGGGAATGGGACGGGGGCTCCTCGGTTTCGACTCCTTCCAGCGCCGCTACCTCGGGGCCATGGCGGCGAAGGAGCAGCGCTGGGGCGCCCCGTGCCCGCTGCCTCAGGCGGAGCCGGGCCGGGCAGCTCCGGGAGGCCGGGTCCTGCCCAGCGGCCGGGCGAGGGCAGGCGGGGGGCACCGCGCCGGCCGCATCCCCGGGCGGGCCGGGCGGCGGCAGCGGGGCCGGGCGGGAGGAGGAGCGGGGCGAGGGGCCGCGGGTGGCCCCGGTAGGGGATGGGTTTGGGGAGGGGGGGGGTGTGAGGTACGGCGGGGCTGGCGGGGGGCGGCGGAGGAGGCGAGGGAGATCCCGGAACCCCCGGGCCGGCGGGCGGGCGGTCACATCCCCTTCCGGCCCCTCCTCCTCCGCCGCCCCCGCCTCCCGCCCGGCAGCGCCCGATCCCGGCGCCGGCCCCGAGCCTGGGGCCGCGGGGCAGCGAGGGGGCTGCCCGGGGACGAGCCCCTGAGGAGGGGGCCGGCAGGGCAGGGAGGGGGCTTGGTCCTCCCCCTGTGCTCGGCCCCGGGGTGTTGTGGCCGGTTCTGGGTCCTCAGGACAAGGGGCGGCTGGAGCGGGCCCAGCGGAGGCCACACAGATGAGGAGGGGTCTGGAACATCCCTCCGAAGAGGAGAGGCTGCGGGAGATGGGCCCGCTTAGTCTGGAGAAGACTGAGCGGGGATCTCATTAATTGTCCTCATCCAAGAAGATGGTGCCAGACTCTTTCCAGCAGTGTCCAGCGACAGGACAAGGAGCAGTGGCCATAAACTAAAACACAAGGAGTTTCACCTCAACATAAGGAAGAACTTCTTTCTATAGAGTACTGGAACAGGTGCCCAGGAAGGTTGCGGAGTCTTCCTCTCCAGTAACATTCCAAACCCACCTGGATGCATTCCTGTGTCACCCGCTCCACGTGACCCTGCCTGGGCAGGGGGTTTGGACTGGATGATCTCCAGAGGCCCCTTTGAACAATTAACAACTCTCCGACTCTTTGGGCAAAACCCTCTGAGGGGAATAAGGGACCAAGCAGGACTGGGGGTCTGTGAGAAGGGAAGGGGGGGTGAAGGGAAGGGTGGGGTGAGCTGCTTTATTAGTGCAGTCAGAGCATATGCACAACTCGATACCAAAACCAGCCACAGAGGCCATATGAATGTGGCAGTAAAACACGTATTTTGTGCACCATTAAGTACCAACACGGAGTTAAACCCCCACATTTTTTCAGCCTGCACTAGGGTGCCCTTGGATGTGCAGCGTGAGTGTTCCCTGGAGCTAAAGGGCAGTGTTGCTGAAGATATTTAGTTTCTCGTACATTCTCCAATTCACCTAGGGGATAGAAGAGGGTTGAGGCAGCAGCTTGAGGTCAGGGTGCTTCGGTCAAAGGTCTGTGGTTGCTCCCACTCAACAAGAGGAGAACACACAATTGCAATTCTGTGCTGTAGCCTCCTGCTCAGGGTAACCATCTGGACACAGAGCAGCTTGTTTATACTGACTCCTCCCTTGTGACAAATCCAAACACACTCCTTGTCTCCTACACCGTATTCAAGGTCCCTGGCAGGCATGTATTTTTCATCTCCTCACAATAGCATCCAAAATGGAGCACTTCATACGGCCCTACAGGATCCTCCACCACTGCTGTGCCTGTCTGCTCCTACATCACTAATTCTTAGCCAGAAGACTGATCCCAAACCATTCCTATTGGATTTCTCCATCAGCGGCTCAGATTGCAGGTACTGAGGCTGTTTGTGCTGCACACACACAGGAGAGAATAATTTTGTCAGATCGTGCTGAGACAAATCCAGGGTCCAATCTCTTGAACTCAGCAGAATTTCTCCAGGTTTATCTCAGTAATGGAGATCAGCTTCTCACCGGGGTGATGTGACCCTCTGCTCAGCTCCCATGGATTGAAAGGAAAGTGAGGAAACAAAGCTGTCTGTCAACATGGGCTGAGCAGCAAAAACCAATACCAGCCATTCACTGAAAAAGTTATTCCCTTCTGGGTCTGGCTGGAACACTCTGGATAATATCTCCTACCATGGCAGGACTGAAGCAGAGTGAACTCCAGAAGACAACCATTAATTTCTCCAAAAGCATTTCCCATTTCCCCAAGCAGTGCTGTAGTTAATCTGGGACAATACGCAGGCAGATGGGCCAGCTGGTCACTCCCAAATGTCATAGCAAGATACCTGCCTTCTTTTCCTTCCTGAAGGGTATTATGTTTTCTGTCCCTTACCCTGCTGCCAGTTTTTGTGAACGCGTTTGTCTCATGTTAACAAACTTGGAAGTCGCCCCGCGGACTCAGAAATTGTGAGAGAAGACAGAGACAGAAAAATTGTGTGAATGCAAAATAAATGAAAAATGCTACAGACTGTTTCTTTCAATCAAGCCTGAGTACATCCTATGGATTTATTCTTTCATAAGAGGTATTTCAGTACTTTTTCTGTTTACCTTTCATTAAGTGTGGGTTCTTACACCCGACAGCTGCAGAGACGTTTCCTCCATAACAATGTCTTAAAAGCGTCAACCCCTTCACCAAATAATAAAACTTAGCATATTAATTAGCAGTCCTCAGGAACCCCAGACAATCATTTCAAGATGCCTCTAATCTCAGTGGGGTTTCAGTCTCTTCGCGGGTCTGCTCAAAGCTTTGTATTTATACCATTCACCTCAGCTGAACAGCAGAACTGCACACAGATGAGACAGAAGTAACGCAGTAAGCAGCAGTAATTGGATTAATAACCCATTAGCACAAATTCAAAATCCCAGTGGTTATTCCTTGGAGTAGAAGGGAGGGGTTGCCATGCTTCGTATTAGTACATGAATTAAGCGCTGGGCACCAAGAAACAAGAAAATTATTCCTGCAGACGGGCGACGCTGTGTTGTCCTTCCTGCAGGCAGCACTCACCCGCAAGAGAACCAGTTGGTAACTCCACTTTTGAGCACGTCTGCACCGTGTATTTAACTCGAGGAAGCAGCACAGGCAGGTGCTACGGCTGGTTTACAGGCTCCACACCTGTCAGACACTGGTGACCAAAGAAATCAGGTTGATCTGTTTTAAAGCCTCCACGAGCATTTTAGTTCCCCATGTAAAAATGAACCCTGAGCAGCTTTTTCCCACCCTGCTTTCAACTGCTTTTTTCTTCAACCAGAGAAGCTGTAGTTTCCTCCTTTTCACCCTTCCTGCTTAGAAGTTGCCCAGCAAAATCTCACAGACTATTTCAAGAATTCAAGAGGACACTGCTGTTGCTGGCTTCTTGTTACCTGCTGGCTTGCAAAGCTGGGCTGGAGGGGGTTGCAGGGACTGCCAGCAGTGACCTTGCTGAAGCCTTGAAGAATTTAGGTCTGCCCTTGGCACAGCACTTGGCTGAGTTTGGAAGGATCAGTAATTGCCCCTCAAAATCATGGGGGGGAAATACTGAGACCTTCAGTTCCCCCCCCCCCATCAGGAAAGATCCATAACCAAACCTCACCAGCTGGTGGTCTTAGGCATAAAAACAAAAGTACCAGAACAACTCAGCTGTGCTGCCCACGCAGCCTGACACGGACACCAGCACCCTGTTCCCAGGATCAGTGTATGAGAAGCTGACACTGCCTCACCTTGCAGGTCAGACAGATCACACCTTGATCCCATGAGCATAATCCACCCCTAAATGAACCACCTCCAGAGCACAGTGTCCACCACATCACCAGCAGCACTTTCAAAGTCTCATAACCCCTCCCAGCCCCTTTCTGCCCTTTAGATGCCTGCGGAGAGGTTGCTTGAGGACAGAGGAGCATTTTGCATTCATGTACCTGTTCAGCAGAACCGTTTCCAGGTATCAAATCTCTCTAGGTGGTAATGAAGTACAGTCTCTTCACCCCTTTGTCCTTTAACTGACACAGAGTTGTTTCAATTTAAGTGGCAGAGATGCAAAGAGATTTACTGGATTAACTACAGCCCTCTCCGTCAGCCTTCAGCAATGCACATTAAGCATCACATTGCTTGTGTATCCCCAGCCTGCTTACACCTAGAACCCTCACAGCAGAAATCCCTGAACCTCCCCACGTGTTAATGAGGAAAACACCTGCTAAACTACAGCAGCTGGGTGGGGGGAAAAAAAGGAGATAATTTCATCATTAAAAGATGCAGAGGCTGCTCAAGTTTTTTTAGCCTTTTTGAACCATTCTTGTCCACACAGATGTGGGTAACGTGGCTACCAGCAGTCCCTTGCACAGGCCAGAAAGTGCCGGCATCCAGCTTTGTTTTTCAAACTTCCCAAGCCATCTTGAGGATGCGATTGTTGCAGCACTTACTAAGGAATCCTCATAAAACTGAAAAAGAACAATTCCCAGCTCTTGTGTGGAGCATTCCAACAATACCCCCAAGAAGCTGAACGCTACTTTACAGAGGCAGCACGGGCAGAAGTTGGAGCTGTGCAGCAGCAGAACGGATTAGCCATGTCCTTGCTTGTCCTCAGCCACTGAGCCCCATTATGCTGTAGGATTTGGGCAGCAGCGCTGGTGGCAGCCGTCCAGGCCCTGCTGTTTGGCAGGGCAGTGAGGCGGAGCTGGGAAGGGAAGTGCCACAAACGCGATCCAAAGGTGCCATCTAGTGCCTGCTCAGGACTGCAGGGACAGCAGCCGGCACTGGAGGAGCAGCAATGAAGGGAATTTCCAAAAGACTGAGCGAAGAATTTTGCCCGAGGGAAGTCTGAGAATCTGCAGTGTTACAATTGGATTCAGGAACAATTAGGGCAGATGGGTTTTTTATCACCCTTTCTAAGAATTACAGTGCTGTGGTGGTGCAAGTATGTATTTGCAATACAAATAGATTCCATACATATTTAACACAACAGCTCTAATGCAGCACCAGAGAGCTGAGAGGACGCTCCAAGGAAAGCATCACATCCATTCTGCACAGAGGAGGTGACTGACTGCCCTGCCCACCTCTAAGCACCAGCCTGAGGATCAGCAGTGTCCTACTGGGCTCCCTGCCATCCCC